CCATTCGCCCCTCCCCCCGTTCCGCCCCTCTTTGTCAGCCTCTAACACACCATCATTTGCAGTAGCAGCATCCCACCCCACCCCATATATAAATCACATAAATATTCACATTTATTTTCATTTTCAACGCGTTTTTCCTACCTGCTATTTTTGTTTCATTTCGTTGCAAGAGGGGTGTGAGGAGGCTCTGCATTTTGCTCTACATTTTAGTGCTATACGTATATATATATATCTTCCTTTTTTTTTTTTTGTAAAGAGAGAGTGTACTGGGGGGGCACTTAAAAAGTCGTTACAAGGTGCAAAAGTTTTTCTATGTCAAAACGTGGAGCCAGGCAGAGACAATGACAATGAAGTGCATGGCCCACATATAGAGAGAGAGAGAGAGAGGGGGGGAGAGAGGTACTATATAGACAGCCTGCATATGTCAATAGAGCCTGGGGAGGTGGGTGGTGCTAGACTACACTTTCGACCCACTTGAGCATTGGGCGAGCAATGGCAAGAGGCATTTCCCATCATCAATTTGAGCAGGAAAACTGAAAAACCAAAAAATTCTTTTTAATTGCCCCCCAAAAATGGTCTCCCTGTCACACGCTTTCAAAGTTTTTTGGGTGCTCTTCTTGGGGAAACATTATGGACAGATTTGGTTTTAATTCAATCAAATATTTGCCTAGAAACTTTGGCACAAAATACGAAAACTTTAGCATGGCCCGAAATTGAGTTAACTCGGCGCAAAGGATCATTGGAAGCGAGTTGTCTCACATCAATACAAATAACTAGGGAAACACACACACATGGATACTCCACACACACACACACACACACAATGACAGCTTAAGACATTGAGGCGTGGATTGCAATCAATTTGAAATTTATCTCATTTGCCTGCTGCCCGCCTGCCACACAGCCACAAGAGACAGACACACACACACTGCCGTGCCGTGTCCGTGTCCGTGTCCGTGCCCTCACTCATAAATAATGTTATGAGGCAGGCCAGGCATTCATTTATTACACCTATCGGCAAAACTTTACAAAATTGACAGCTTAATGATTTGTTCATAACTCTGCCAATGGCCCTTTAATTAATGTTCGAGCTATTTCCCAACCTCTCGCAAAGCAACCCACCCACTAATGGTAATTAGAAAAGTTCTGCCCAGAGCTCTGTGTGGAATTGGATTATTTGGTGGCAAGCAGAGTTATTTGGACAAATTATGTGGCAAGCATGGCTTTGATTCGGTAACGGATACATGTTGGCAAATAAAGTTATGTAAACCAAACAGAACTGCTCAATTTTGAGCAGAACTGAAAGTTATTTCAGTCTTAAAATATCACAGAAAATATCTAAAATATTTCACGCTGGTGAGAAAGTTTATTAGAAACTGTTTAAACTTTAAAGAAATATCTTTATCTGACTATAGTCAGATAAAAAAAAAAAAAAAGCTATTAAACTTACTTCAAAATACCTCCAGTCATTTTTCATTCTCATATTAAATAATTATTCCTTCACCGCATAAACCTCTCGATGTCAGTGTCCAATCAAAGCTGTCAAACACAAGCACACAAATCTACCCCTGCCCATAGCCACCCCTGTCTATTTATTGCCATAACAACAGCCCCAATTGACCAAAGCTTCAATCACATGCATATTTAAGTCAAGTTTTCTCTCGCAATTATATAATTTAGGATGCCAATCGGACATTTTGTTTGACTGCCATTGACTTAAATATTATATAATGTGTGAGCGGGGAAGCGGGGCCTAGTTATGTCAACGAATTTCACACTCTCACCTCATGGCATTTCAATGCCAAGAACTAAGAGCTCTCTGGCCAGTGCAGTGGCAGAGCAACATCAATTTGCCATTCCGTCAATTAAATATGCTGACAGCCTTCAATTATTAATAAAGAAGAAACAATGGAACAATGCAAAGACTTCGAACGGTGTGGAAGATACATATGTGAAAAAGAAAGTCAAAATAATAAAACAATGGTGAGAAAATCTTTCTATATGTATGTGTGGTACAGTGAAGTTCTTATAAAACAGACTGTCCAATTAAGTGCTATAAAGAAAATGGATACGTGCATTAATTGGGACATTCAAGGGGGAATTTTGAGCAACGAATTTGGTATCCACAGCATGTTTCCAGTAGGTTCTCTGGCTATTGTAGATGGTAAAGGCATGAATACTCAATCTATATTGAGTATCAGAAGTCTGTCTGGTAAAAGTAGCAGGAATTGTTACAGAAAGGTACATCGTTCTAGTTGTTTGATCGCCCCTCGGGTACATTCTTGCATAAGAGATAGTTAAAGGAGTAAATACATTGTAGACAGGAACTCAGATAAGAGTCCAATCGAAATAGATCTTCAAGTAAATCTACTCTATGGCAGACATGCCAAGCTATAGATATTTTTGTTCGCTTTCATCATTCCATATAGATCTATCCGCAAATGGGGCTTTTACTGGCATCTAGGATCTTCATACTCCTGTCCAGTGGCTGTGGTTGCCGACCCAAAGGATTCACTGTATTCAATCTGTGTGTGTTATGCCTGTTTTAACGGTTGTGTGTTTGTGCGGGTAGAAATTACTTTTCAGAAAATTATCATTCACAGAGGACACACACACACACACACACGAGCAAGCGAGCGAGTGAGTGAGGATGACTATCTTATATGGGGAAATTCAATTTGATGCACATCAACCTGATGCTGCCACTGCCACACGCTGCCCGTGCCAGCGATGCTGCTGATGCATGCTGATGCTGATGCTCATGGTGCAGTTTCTGCTGCTGCTGCTGTTGCTGTTGCTGATGTCACTCGCCCGACTCATTAAGTATTAATTGTAAATTTTAATTAAAATAAACCGAAACGATTACGGACACAGCACAGAGAGACATATAAAGGGTGGAAATGGGGTCGGTTTGGTCCCAGGCAAAAACTCTCTGCCACTGATGGCCAGGTAATAATGTTTACTGATTTTATACCCATACAAACCAATAAGGCACCACCCCCATTTTGCACGCATATATATATGTATATATATATATATATTTCATGCCAGATATGTATATACCCACAAAAAATCCCCATTAATTGCCACAGGAAAAGACGTGCTTGTGGAAGTAAAAATAATCATAAATAATGAAAGATTGCCACGGCAACTGGAACTGCAACTGGAACTGCCACTGCAACTGCAGTTAAAATTGCAACTGCAACACGAAGCGGAAACGGAAACAGAGGCTGACATCTTTGGCCATTCGATGCTGACTTTGATCAGTGGGTTAACTTATTTGCTTAATGGGTGGGCGGTGGTGGTGGCGCTGCACACAGCAGCGGCAGGTGGCAGATTGTGGGAAAGGTGTAAATATCAGCATTTAAGTGATTGTTGCGGCAGCAGATTAATTTCATATATAATTTTATGGTGGGTGAAAATGTTGCACAAGCTGAAAATGACATGTTCTGAAGTCCTGCCTGGGTAAAGGTGAAAGAAGGGTAATTGCCTCTCCCAATTACCTTTGAGAGAGAAAATAATAAAAAAGAAGCAATAAAATATTCCATTTTATTACATTAATTATTCCAAACCCTTCTGGGTAGTTCTTGGACAATTCTTTCTGCATGATTAAAAGGAGTAAAAAATAAAATAAAATGTGCCTCGAACTCCTTAGATACCCCTTTAACTATGCAACAAAAATTCTCTAAAATGAAACCTGCCACAAAAACCTTTTTTGATTCATAAGCTAATCAATCTTAAAGCAGGCCAAAGGCAGACCGGAAAATTACCAATTTTATAATAATAATAATCTGTTTCGGTGCAGTGTGGGCGTGGCCCGATTATACGCAGTTACGCAATGAGTTCACACCAACACAAAGAAAGCGCAATATGTACTTGTGTGCACACCGAATGAATTGTATTTATTTGTGTGCCATAATTTGCTTATTTTTGTTTCACGTTGTCACGTCTGCGGCCGGATTCGCATTGACGCGTAACCATTTTCCATCTTTTGTGCTTTTACAACGGCGAAAGAGACAGCGAGAGAGGGGAGAGCGGGAAAAAAAAACTCATGCTGAAATAAAAGTTAAATAAAATACAATAAGTTATTGCGGCCGATTGCGTTAATGATCATTTATAGCCGGGCTGAAGCTGTGGGCTTATGTAAATGGCTGGCGAGCCGCCGTGGCCGGCATCCTGCAGCCTGGAATGCCCAGTCATGTGAGTTGCTGTTGGGGAGTCATCCGTGGCAGAGATTTATGCTTAAGTAATGTAAATGCCTTGCCATTTGACAGTTTATTGACTTTTATGAGTTAGTTTATTATGCGCTCTCCCATGTTTTTTTTATTGCCAAAAAGGGGGTAAGCCCAAGGGGAGGCTTCCCCAGGAACTTCCGTGTAATTGGCTGCGTGCCTCGCATAAGCAATGAGCCTGCCATAATGTTCAAGGTTCTTAGGGCGCAAGGACTTTTCCTTAATGTTTATGGCCTGAAAATGCTACGAGATTTGCGCTAATGAATATGATAAACAAATGGCTGTTAAAAGGGAGGGGGCACACTAGATAATCATCTGGGGACACCTTGGGGAAAAGGAAAGTCAGGAAATTATTCTTGAAATGTGTTGACAGTTTTGTGTTGTTAAGTGAAATTTATAAGACGGTGGGGTAGAAGTTTTGTTTGCTTGTTTCAATTAATCAAGGAGTATTGGTGAAAAGTTTTGGCAAGTTAAGCAACTATAGAAGATAAATAGTCATCAATATTTGTATTTATATATTGTGTTTTTCTGTAAATAATTTTGATACAATTTTAACTAAGACACTTAAACCCCTGCGGTTTTATCTGCACTAATTTCTTTCCACTTCTTTGACAAATTCGTATTGTCTTAGCAATCACTGATGCTCTACAGTGGGATAAAAAAGGCTTTTATATGGGAACTTTTATGTTTTCCAAAGACCAGCAAAGATAACCATCTCTATAGTATCCCTTTTCGGCTTTTGCAAGCACCCCATCAAAGTCATTTTTATACACATTCAGTTGAATTTATTCTCATATACTCATACGCACTGCTTACCAGCTAAACATTTCATTTCGGGATTCTTTTCTTCCTCATTTTTTCGCAACTCTTTCTCGTTTTTTTTTTGTTTGCATTTCAATTAAGCTAATTTGAATCCATTTACTATTATTGATTTGCTTTTAGTTTTCTTATGTTCTTTCCTCTTTTGTTTTCATCAATAATTTGGACATTCATTCTTTTGTTTGTTTTTGTAAAATTCATCAAAGTTGTAGTGGTTTTTTGTTTTTTTTTGTTTTGTTTTGTTTCGGTTTACATAGTTTTATCGGTTTAGTTTTAGCTTGAACAACATTTATGTAGAGTTGGGCATTTTCATATTTAACTAGAAGGTAGAGTTGACAATGCATATGTATTGTATGTATCGTAAGGATTCGCCTCTCCATAAACATCGTTTTCTGCCTCTCCCCCTGCTCTATCGTTAATATAATCGATTTTTTAGTTTAAAAAACGTACAAAAAATGTGTGTTTGATGAATGGAAAGTTGGCAGCGAAAAATTGGCAATAGGCGTAACATATTCTCTATATATATATTTATATAGCACAAAAAGCATTTTTTTTCTTTAATAATAATTCCACGTATTTCTCTCAATTTTCGGATTTTAGGTTTAGGTTTAGGTTTAAGTGAATTGCACACACAAAGTTCTATCACAGAAGATACAAAGAAATTATAGAGAACTCAGCAGCAACAATAACAAGGGGTTGGGGTTGGGTTCTGGGAATGGGAGTTGGTACTGGAAACTGGTAACTGGGGACTGGTGGTACAAGCTCTATGCATAAATCAAAGCAAGGATGAGTGCGTAGACCGGATACGGAGACGGATACCAGCTGCGGCAGCCGGCAGTGGCAAAGATCTTCACGCCACTCCAGTCACTGAGTCCGGCCAGATTTCGGGAGGCAGCGCGCATCAGATACGTTGTGTTTCCCACCAGATGCGAAATAATGAAACGCTGGCCTGCCAAAACGGATTGAATTTAAAGAGAAAAGAGATATTACTGATTGGTAGAATATTCAGCAAAAATTATGTATGCTACACGAATCAGGCAACGAGAAGGAATTTCCCCACATCCTGCGCTTGACTTACCTCGATGAAACGAGAAATCCCGCTGTTTGGCATGGCTCCAGTTGCCAGCACTGAACTTGAACTCATTCTCGCTCATGTAGGCCACCCGGTAGCCAAAGATCTGCATCTCATCGGAGACATTGGTCATGCGGGGCGTGCGCAGATCCAGCTCGAAGGCATCCGTATAGAGACGCTTCAGCTGGAAGCGTGTGGGCCCCATGGGCTTGGCGCCCGGCCGCAGTTTGATCAGGCGCTCGAGGCTGCCCAGCGGATTGGCCACCTTGCACTTGTAGTCCCCGAACTGACTCTCATTCCGGACGTTCAGCTGCAACGTGGCCCCATAGTCGGCGACGAATATGCGATGATTGAAGCCCAGGATGCCCTTGCCGTTGTGCAACCAGGTGAATGATGGCGGCGGCTCGCCCATGGCGTCGCAGCTCAGATTGACAGCGCCGCCCACATACGCGTACTGCATGTTCAGCGTCTCGTTATAGAACCAGTGGGGCTTATCTGTAAAGAGAGCCAAAGAGAGATGCAGTCACAGCTGCTGTAAGTCCTAAGCTTCACAGATAGAGTGCGATGGGGGATGGGGTGGTGCTTCGGCCTGGTTTCGTTTGCTCATTCATGCACACACAAAGGGAGGGGGTAAAGCGGAATAGATAGGGATACTAGGTGCAGAGCTGGTGCACTTTGTCGTTGTCTCTGCTCAAATCCCCCAATGAGACCCCACTGACACCGCACATGGCACATCAGTTATAGTTTTTTTTTCTTTTTTGTTAGCTCTTATTTTACTTGTGCTCTGCATCTAGTTAACCGTTAACCTATGAAGTACAGTGGCGTGGGACGTTGTAAAAAATGTGCAATTTATACTGGGCTAGATTTATAAATAAACTAATTAAATTAATTTTAAATATGTAAAAATGCAAGAAGCCAAGCCACATGGCGGGACATTGTCTGAGAGCGCTCTCGTGATATTCGCAGATTTTGTTTCAATTGCGTATTGACTGTGTGAGCAAAAAAAAAGCGAGGGAGGAATATGCAAGCAGGAGGCCTCAGCATCGCAAAATGCACCTTGCAATAATTAATCTGCTAACAATAACACTTATTGCCTCTTACTCTCTTTAAACTGCTACTTACAAAAAAACAATAACAAACAAGCGACGACATGCTCGACCTTGAGCCCTAGAAAGAGCAAGAGAAACATCAAGAATCGATGCTAAGCAGCAGAGCAGCAGCATTTGCATCTCTCACGCTTACGCTCACGCTCTCTCTTTCTGTTACTCCCACTGACACGCTCTGTCTCTCCCGTTGCAGTCGGCGTCGCTGCTCGCTGACATTGCATGGGTAAGCGTCCGGCTGGCAGAGGCTGGCGTTACATTTTGCAGATAAGGATAAGCGGTACTTTGTAAATGGCAAAAGACGCAATTGAAGAAAGCGACAGTGACAGTGGTGGTCAAGAAATTAGGGAGGCTTGAGAATATTGCCTTAGCGGAGTATTCCGTGTCGCTTTAAACGAAATTAAATTCGATGCAATTCAGTGGGCAAACTTAAGACCAGTCCTTCAACGCTAACAAGACCCCCTGTGCATTGACCTACCCATGCATCTATTGAGCGCGCCCTTTCAATATTTACACCACTGTACATACCTAAGTACACATTTCGATACCCTTGCCACCTCTGGGGACACCGCCTTCACCCTGAGCACGATGCTCCATTGAAGCGTAAACTAATAGCACATTTTAGCATTTCGTCGTCGTCCTTTTCGTCCTTGTCGCTTCGTTGTCGTTGTCGTCGCCACTGCGGCTCATTGAAGTTTATTGCTGAGGAAATGCAAACCTATATATTGCCGCATTTCATCTGTAACTGTTACCCCCTCCCGCTCCATCTCCTCTACTGCACCCACACCCACCCACTTCTGCTTTGGGGTCCTCCTCCATACATTCCCATTCCTGTAGCTAGTGGGCTGCAAATTAGTTTCGGTTTCCATTCCCTTTTGGTGTTTGCTTTTCAGTGCCAGCTGGCCACACTGCACCGATTCAGGGGGCAACCCACCATTTTGGGATACTGCTGGCCCCCCTTTTGGTCCTATTTGGGTGGTGGTGGTGCTGCTGCTGCTGGCTTGTGCAAACCTTCGTTCTGCAGTCATTAGTAAAATTGTGACGGCAGCTCAATTGGAGAGGGGGGAACTGTTGGGCAGCATCAAGGGCACTGGAGAGTGTTAACTCAACCCCCCCCCCAAAACGCATTGGGAGTGTGGTGTGGAGCTTCTATTTGGTTTGCCTGGTGTTGGTTTGTTTATGAAGTCATACATATGTTTCGATATTGATGGGGGGTACTTTGGATTGGGCTGCTGCTGCTGCTGCTTGCTCCCTGGCTATGTCAGCAATATTAATGAGTCTCAAGAGATTGTTTTTTTTTGTTGCTCTACAAATTTATGGGATACGAATGCACAAACTATGTTTTGGCCATGTTTGAGTAATCGCTGTACCCCTTTGACTTGGTTTATGTTCCATTGATTAATGCGAAAATGTTCGAAAAAAACACGAGGATTTACTTTTCCTTTTTAAACTCGATGCTCAGCTTTATCGTCCATATGTATATATCCCCTTGCCAGTCAATCCATTCCCTTAACTACTGTTTTCCTTCATTACATACTCCCAATTTCACACTTACGAGTAGCTGTGTTCCAAAAGTCATTCTCCCCAAAGCCAATTATGGACAGCAGCCAAGTAATATGTTCATTAGAAAATTTGCATCAATAATTTGCATTTTCCTGCTACTTGACCCTGACAGCCGGAAGGAGCTGCCTGTCTTTGCTTTGCCTTCTCTCCCTAAGAAGTGTGTAGGGTCTCAGTAGCAGCAGCAGCAGCAGCAGCAGCTTGAAATCTCATTAGAGCCAACGAAGCATGGTCCACTCCCCAGGGCCAGAATGCCACGGGGTGATGGGGGGGTGGAAACTGCTTAAATAACTTTAAGCTGCTATCAGCAAAAGATTTTGTTGCAAAGTCTAAGCTCAATTTTCAGCTTTCAAAGGGCAGACGCACACACAGAGAGAGAGAGAGAGAGAGAGAGAGTCCACGCAGTGGGGTGGCTGGTTAGCTGGGAAATGCAATTGCCAACAAGTGGGGGGTACAGAATAAATTCTAGATTAAATATTATCAAGTGTGGCACGTAGCAAGTATGCTGGGGGGCATGCTAGAAGGAGCAAAAGATGCAAGTGTGTGTGTGTGTGTGTGCTGCAATCTGAGCTTGCCAAACAAAAAAAAAAGAAAAAGAAAAACCGAAGCAGGGACATGGGAGCGTATCGCCTTCGCTCATTGTACTTACGTTGTATCCTTAGCAATATCGTTATTTGATCGGAATCCGAAAATGTTGGTGTTATACGCATGGCACGACACGTATACTCGCCGGCATCCGCCTGGCTGACATTCCTGATGTACAGACCGTTCGACAGGCGATTATGCTTCGACGAGTTTACAGCTGCTATGAAAAAAAAAAAAAAACGAAACACAAAGTTCGCATGGGAGAGAAATAGTTGCATAGTTAACAAGTTTGCCATGCCACGTGGCGAGTGTGGGGGGAGGTTATACTCGAGGGCATACTAACTGTTTATGTATTCGCCATTGTAGAGCCAGGAGACTTCCGGTGCTGGCATACCCTCCACAAAGCAATTGACCATCGCATCGCGTCCCTCGCGCACCGACTGCACTTGTTCCGTTTTGCCAAATGAGATTTTCTCTATGGCAACGAACAAGAAGGAAATACATTGGTCAAATTACTGAGTAAATATTGTACAATGGTCATGATATCCTGTTCGAAAGTATCCCTTACATATGTACATCTGTGTGTATGGGATTCTTTGATTTCTGTGCTGTTCACATGGAAGCTATTTTGATTGGCAAGCTTACAAACATTTTTACGGGTTCATTCAGCCGGGAGGAAATTTAGAATAGAGCGTGGACAGAGGACATTTACTTCTATCAGATTAAGTAAGGTTTGATATTCAATAATTAATAAGAAGCTTTTCCCGATCTAAATAAAATATTAACACTCATTAAACATGTACCAAAAATGGCTGAAAAAAAAAAACAAATGCTGGAAGTTTGAGCTATTTAATTCCACTCCTAATTAAGCCGAAAAAAAACCTTATATTTATGGGTCCAGAACCTTCACAGAGATGTGTTTTATCTGTTTTCGGAACTTGACTTTCATGTTTATTTTTTGTAACAAAAATTCAACTCAAAGACTTTCCATGTAAACAGGTCCTGCAGCTGTTTTTATGACTCTCTTTTTATCGTCTCTTTCTTTTTTGCACACAAATCTGAAGCCAACTTACGATTAACGAGAAGTTCAAAGGAGGAATAGAACTCTCGCTCGTTATTCACATTCCGATTCTGTTGTCCATTCACCTCGCAGGTCCAGTTGCCCCTGTCGTCCAGCGAGATGTGCTCAAAGACCAGAGCCAGAAGACCTGCAAAGAGATAGAAGAGGATACGCATATCGCAGGCATTATGAACCGCACTGACATCCCGTGGCTACAGTATCCACTGAGTGGATGAGAGGAGAGGATGGACTGGACTGGGCTGGACTGGACTGGACCCGTCTTACCCGTCTTCTTTTCGATGTGCACTCGACCCTTGGTGTTCTCACGGGTCTGGCCGCGGGGATCACGCCACTTGGTGTCGATATCCTTTTGTACTGTCTGGCAGAATATGATGAAGGAGTCATTTACAAAATGCGTTATTGATGGCGTCGATGGCTGCAGCCTTAACGGTGGCAAAGACGAGGCGGGAGATGTGTTGCCTTCCAGCTGTCCAAGGATTGCAGCTGCAGTTGCAGTAGCGCACAAAAAGAGAGAACATTTTTGCATTCAATTTATCACTTTTTCCATGAGCTAAAAGTTTGGATGGCATGCGGCTAAGGGGAAAAGTCTGTCAGCCAGAGGTTTGATGGTAGCTGAGGTCAAAGGCATGGACCTAGATGGTGGTACCCCAACTTCACCGACTGCTCATAAAAAATAATCATAATTTATATGGGCAGGCAGTAACTTTTTTATTTCATTTTTCACAGTTCTTTATCGTTATTTCTTTTATTTTATTTGACTGAAATTTAATTAGCTTTGCATGCGCCTCCGTCTCCATTGAATGCATGAATCTCTAAATAGAGATCTACGAGTATATTCCTTTGTTTAATATTCAAGGCATCTGATTAACCCCGGAGTACTACCCCTCTCAACTTTGTGCTGAATTTTTAATAGAAATTCCTTTGCTGCAGCTTTCATTTCTTGTTCTGCTTTTTTAAGAAAAAATCTTTTCAGTTGATCCAATTTATAGCAACGAAAGAAATACAGATTTACCTAAATTATAATGTGAATAAACAAAAGTAAAAAAAACTATGGTAGAATATGTGAATGTATAGTTTATTAAAAATATATAAATATTGTTTACCCATTCACAGAAAAATTAATTCAATTCAATTTGCAAATTGAATGGAAGATTTACATGAACAGTAAATTTAGTCAAAAAAATGCATGCCATAGAAATGAAAATGTGCAAAAAAGAACATGCTTAAATTTGTATTCCATTTGCATTGATTCAATGTTGTTTGTTGCCTATTTGTATGCTACATGCCCTGGCAAAGGGTGCTACGATTTTTAATAGATGCTTGCCAACGGAGAGAACGAAATATCTGCTTTCGTAAAGAGTATAAAGAATTCCTATTGATCAGACATTTTTTTCTATTCACAATCCGCAAAAGCTCATTTTAAATTCTTTTGAAAATTTTCTTCTTAAGTTTTTAAAACTTGGAAATTATATTTATAATTATATCATTTTAAAAACCCAAGAGAAATCATTTGACTTGGGAACATAGTTGCTAAAGGCAATGATTATGATTAGGGAACCTTTGCTATTAATTTAATTATTAATTATAAAATATACATAAAGAGTAGCCAGTAAAACAGTACCACTCATTTTCTGATTAATTTGTTGTAGCTGAACATTTATTGTTCACATTTCTAGCTAATTTTTTTAGTAGAGCATTCGTCATCTTTCTTTTATTTTGTTAGCCCCAAAGGAACGCATTCCTGAATTACCCAGCACGCGTGGTTTTTTCCTTTTTTTATGGCCACCCACCCCCCTATCCATTCGCCTAACCTTTATACCTTATTCCCCACCTCTTCCGGGACTGACTAAAATTTCCGACAAACAATTTGAGAGGTTTTTGGTGCAGACGAAATTGAAAATAAATATCCAAAACTATTTGCAAAAAGGGATAAGAAAAAGTTGTTCCTTTGTTTGCTTTGATTTTTTGTATATTTTATTAGTTCGTTGCTGTTTCTGATAGCTGGCTAAAATAATTATTGGTAATTGAATCTTTTGGTAGCAGAGCACACAATTTATTTGTTATTCAATCTGCAGGTTAGGTAAGTCAATGTTTTATTCAAGCTAAAAGTTTTTCACGAAATTCTGGTTGAATTTTTAATAAAATAAAAAGGGAATCGATAGAACAGTTAGACATTTTAATAATTAAAATATGCCCATTTGATTATTGAAATATTCACACAGTAGTTTTATGATTTTTTAGGAATTTTATTGAAGGCAAAACACAACTGAGGCAGGCCTCAATTGCATAGCGAAATAAAATTAATTTTCCAAATATATTTAAACGATGCTTCATCAGAGACTTTAGCCAATTGTTTTTGAACATTTTATCTAATATCATTTGCGCTTTTGCCATTTCAATCGATAAGCCTGGTCCAAGCCCTGCCATCCCAGCCAGAAAGAGAGGTAGAGAGAGAGAGAGAGCAGAGCAACAAATCCATCAAATTGAATTTAATAATATTTTATTTGAGTGGCAAAGTACTATGTAGGTACGTATGTGTGCGGAAAATGTTCGACTAAATCCAATAAAAATTCAAATTCGCCTTTTTCAAATTTAGTAAGCAATACGCACACGTAACATATAATATATACACTTTGATATTTATGTTCGTATGTACATACATATATCCACACTTGCACATACGAGTTTAAACGTAGGTACAATTTCTGCAATTGGATTGTTAAGGCTTGGGCTCCTTTGTGTGCTGCATATCAATCAACGTGGAAGTCGCTGGTAGACGCAGGAGAGGTTGAGCAGCAGAAGTAGGTTACTCAGAGGTAATATCCTTACAATGGCAACTCAATTTGTTCTGCATCAGCATATTTTTTATGCGATTTTATATCGAATCCAATATTGTTACATTTTGTGTAATTTTTTGTTGTTGTAAATGTAAGTAAAATGTAGCAGCAAGCATTGCATTGACACTACTTTTAGGGTGTGTTTAATATTCATTATAATCTAGTATTTTCCAGCTATTTGCTATCCATGTTCATCTATCTGTAAGAAAACTACCATCTATACAATTTATGGAAAAATTAACGCAGAATACTGAAAAAAGGCTTGAATTTTTGCAAAGATTAAAAAAAAGGATCGCGAATTTTTCAGACATTTTTGGAATTTTTGCTCAGGTATTTCGTGTTTTTTTTTATGCCTAAAAAATCTCAGCAGGATATATCCTACATTTAAATATAGATTTTAACCTTTCTGAAAGCTTTCATTTTCTTTTCTTATTTATTGAAATATATCAAGATATTTGTTTCGCAATCCTACCCTTTTTTTATCTTACACTTCTATCGAATGTTTTGTTCTACATAAAATGTCTTTACTTTGAGTCACTTGTTCTCCTTTTCTTACAGCATTTCAAAGCTTGTCAAGTGACTTGAGATGGGTACTTACATCTCCTACATCTACTTACCCCTACTTGACCCCATCTCCTACCACCTACCACCTACCCTTTCCACATTCTTTTTTATATTTGCCCATCCCCTCAATTCGCTGTGTTCCCTTTGGTCTAATGAATTCCCACATCTTTGCCATCTTTTTGCGTTTCATCTTCAAGGGGCCTCATGGCCATGGGCTAATTTGGGTTAAGGTTGCCCCAACACGCCCCATCTTGCCGCACACACATGGGGTTTGCTTAGTATAACTCACGTTCTTTACCATGTCTAAAATGTTTCATTCCATACTTTTAGGCGGTGCATGGTGCGTATGTGTAATATTTTCTTGCCACATTTGCGTTAGTCCGCAAACAACAAACAAAATATTCCTTTTTGGATGTTTTGCTGCAGAGACAACAGAAGTTTTTCACACAACAAAACAAAAAATCCCTCTCTCTCTCTCCGAGTGCTTAATTCCACTAGATTTGAACACGAGAAGAGAGATTTGAGAAGCGACAGAGAACAAGCGAAACAAAGCAAACATTTCTTTTAGTTGGTTGAACATTTCACACTAAAAAGTATACAACATCAACAAAAATGCAAGAGAATAGCAACAAATCAGTGAAATAAAAATTCAAATGGATTTATTTTTGTCTAAAATGTATCTTGAATTTTTTAAGTATTTTAATAATTTTATATCTTCGATTTATTTAAATTACAAATATAATTGTAATCATTATGATAATCATTTTATCAGCTTGCTGGCCTACTTATTATCGCCCATTTCTGGCATCTGTTAAGCTTGTATCCGATAACATTAAAGCCTCATCAAACGAATCCACCCAAACACACCCCAAGCCACCCACCAGCAGCAGCCCACTTGGGCCCGAAAGTGGGGCCAAAATTAACATGGCCAAAAGCAAAAGTTATGCCAAAAACAAATGAACTCATTTGGCATTCATTTCATTTATGGAAACAGAATAAGAAACGAAAAAATATTGTGAAAAGAGGAACTTTCTGCCACACAAAAGCAAGAGTTGCGAGTACTTTTCGAGGGGAAAACCACAGTATAGAAGCCTTTTCTTTTAAGGATTGTGGATGGAGGATGGAGGATGTAGGATGGGGACCAGCTGAAGATGATCTGAGATTATCCTACCATTCTGTGAGAGGAGCAGCAGCAGCAGCGAGCAGACGGCAAACAAAGTATCCATGGCTGCCAGCAGTGGGTTATCCTTTATTTCGTTATAATCCTTAATGGTTAATGGTAAATGGTTAATTTCACTGAAATTGCTTTCTACTGTAGATTTTTCTGAGTTTATTTCACTTGGATTTTCGTGGCGATTCTTTTCATTCGTGTTATGCCTTCTTTGGGAGAACCTTGGCAGTTAATTACGTGGCTGTTCACTTGAGGGATAATGGCACATGCCTGCCGTGGCGACTCTCATGTGTCAACCGTGGCCGGAAAAGCGGCAGCAACAACACTTTCACTTTGGCCAGGACAATAGCCAAGGCAATGGCATGACATCATCAGCCTCATGGGCATGGGCATGGGCACGGGCATGGGCATGGCCATTGGCCAACATCATCATCCTTCGCTTTTCGGTTGTTGTTTTTTTTTTGTGGTTCTTTTTTTTTTTTGCTTCCGTTTTTATATCTTTTTCTTAGGCACTGGCACTTGGGGAAACACTTGGATTCAGTGAGAGATGGGCAGAGCCAGCGGTGAGGGGCCGGTGGTTAACATTTCCGCCAACATATCCTGCTAGCTGCGAGCGACTCTTTGCCACGTTCAAATTCTCGCGCTCTACTTGGCCAACGGCCGTCGTTCAAGGCTGTGGCCTTGTCGCTTGGGGATTCAGGCGATCCATTGCAGGCGAGCGACGGTAATCGACTGAAAGTGCATTCTCGCACGGAGGATACTCCACGACAGGACAGGACAGCACACAGGACTCGGCGGCTCTCAACGAAGTTCACGCGAGCGCTAGACGACCGACTCCTTTTCTGGCCTTTCAATTTCCTCTGTTTCAGCCGCGTTCACGTTCGAATCGTTGCGAAATCAGAAAATACACTGAAGTCATCGTGTGTCCTGTGGCATCCTTTTTGGCGTAACGCCAGGAAGTCGGCCGAAAAGGGAAAACTCTTCTTCCAGCACGCAACTTCGTGGGAATCGCAATGTTGACACACATATCCTTCGTGCCCGGAAACATTGTTGCCAGAGTGCAGGCTGTTTAGGGACATATTTGTAGTTCGAAATGTTGCGAGAGGATAACTCAGGGGTAAGGATTTGTGGGGTGGAAAGCATCCCCTTGAGTTAGGGGTAACATTTGTGGAACTTTTAGTGGAACTTTAAGTGGAATTTTTAGTGGAACTTTTAGTGGTGTAAGCTCTGGAGAGTAGAATCGAGTCTCAAATAAATTATATTTATTTGCTATACAAGTTAAAGAAGAGCTTTATTGGATATAAATTGGTGTCCTACGTGGGTGCAACAGAGTTCTACTTTTATAAAAGAGTTCTGTTTTATGGGCAACATTTTTTATAAAGAGAACCAAAACCAAGTTTGAGCATCCATAAAGTAGAAATATAAAATGTATGAATATTTATAGCACTTTGAACAGAGGTTCTATAACACTCAGCAAAAATGTATTATAATTATTATATTATAATTGGCAGTTGGGCCCGCAACCATCAAAAGGTATTGTCCATTTTTAGGTTTGGTTAACGAATTTTAGCCCAAAGTATCCCTAGATTTTAATGGCGTACCAAACGACCCAAATTAACACCTAACACAAAAAAATAAAACCAGTATATCGCCCGAGTTTTAAAGCAAAAAATACCCCAAAAATCCTCTGCACAATGCTTTAATTCCCAGCGGTAAGCTGTAATCACAAAGTGTTGGGCTTAACTTCTAGCTGTTTTAATTATCTCAAAATATTAAAGTTCTTACAACCAGACGTAAGCTACTAGAGCTGTGAAAACAGCGCTACCCTGAAAAAACTTAAAAAAATCCGCAAAATCTCAAAAAGTCCAAAAAAAAAAATTCATCAACCATTTCTAAGCCCCAATCTTAGAAAGTTCGTTTTGTCCTTGAGGAAAAATCGTGTTGACTAGTGTTATCAAAAAATTAAAATTACTAAAAGCGAAAGTTAATTTCAGCTTCAGTTTTCCCTTTACAACCCAAAATCCTTTCAAAATAACTCAGCAAACATTGTTGGAACTTTCTGGGAAAATGTTGGGATATACCTCTTAAAATTCACATTTTCCTGTATACTTTTTGGGATAACTCTTTCCCAGCAAACCCTCAAAAGAAAATGCTGCTTCTCCATAATTAAAAAAAAAACACTTATAAATTCTGATGCAAAAGTTTTTTATTCATACAATCGGGAATCATTGACATCAGCCGTAGTAGACATAGGGCGAGGCATAGCCCACAGCGGGATAGCCGGCGGAGTAGACAAACTGGGGCACCGGTGCCGGATTGGGGCCTGGAGCAGGGGCAGGCACGGCCAGGACAACAGCCAGCAGGGCGGCGAGCAACAGGAATACCTGCGGAACATATGAGGAAACACTCGGGTGATCAAAGGGTTGGGAAAGAGGCCTGTGGCAAACACTCACCAGCTTCAGCATGATGAAAGCAGTTAATGCTACGACTTGACAAACAGAATCGAACTGCACTCCATGTTTGCTCGATTGCAGCTATTTATATTCGAATAACAAACATTTCGGAAAGAACAAGGAGAAGCGGGTCATAGGGGGTGGGAGGAGGCGGGTCTAAGCAGCTTAATTGTATTGCTCTGCTGTCATCAGTGCTGACTGCATAGGGAGACCCGGGGAGAGACTCGTTGCCGCATTTTGATATTCCATTTGCATTCCGCTGGCCAAGTTTATGGCTCATTATCGGGTTTAACGCGTTCGGGCTTCCTAATGCCCGCCAAATGCGAACACAAAGAACATTATTGTTTCTTAATCTGTTTGCCCACTACTACTATATGCCACTGACGACATCGTCACCATCATCATCAGCAGCAGCAGCAGCAGCAGCTAACATCCTCCTCACTTCCTCCCATTCACCATTCACCATCCGCTATCCTCCAAAGATTGTCGCTCTTTTTGTCAATTCACTCTCTATTTTTGACTCTCTTTTTTCTGGATTTTTTGGTTTCTTTCGCATTTTGCCTTGGGCAAACATTTGGCTTTGTTTTGGTTGAATTCGATCGATTTGGGAGCTGAAAAATACATGAGTTGCCAGTTTTTATGTGATACACTTTGGCGGCATGAAGGCGGATGATATAAGAGGATTTGTTTTTGGCAACAAAAATGGCACAGAACTTGAGAGAATTATTCTAAGGAATTAAATGTGAAATAATAACTAAAATGTGGAGTAGCAGAGAGTTTAATGTGTACCAAAGGAGTATCAATCTTTTAAGTTAAAGAATAAAAACATCATAATAATAAAATAATAATGAAAAATTTCTCTACCTTAATCCTTAATCTTAGTCCTATCCTAAATTTTCTGGCAGACTTGGTGTCAGAATTATTAAAGACTATGCAAGTTTTTGGACATTAGCTTACACATATTTCCGTAAATATTTAAGCAGAAAAGTCTAAGCTTCTTAAATCAGAAATTATTCATGCCTCAACCTCATTATATACCCTTGATTCCATTTATATTTATTTCTACAATTTTTGCATATTATACTCTTCGAGCCAAAAGACTCGTTTTTAATTATTACACAAAATGTATTAAAATAATAAAATATTGTTACTACATGACAAAATTTAAAAACCTTAAAAATGGTAGTAAACTACTTTCAACGTTGGCTTGATATATCTTCAGATATAGCCATTCTATGGAATCCAATAAAAAGGCAATTTTTTTTTCCAACTAGAAAATACACAAAGCTAGCTAAGAACAGTTTTTTAACTTTTAAAATTTATTTCATATATTCTAGAGTCTAGACTCTAAAGATTTTCGAAAAAGAGCTACACAACCTGGAATAAAATTTACTCTCGTGTAAGAGTACAGAGTACACTCGAGCCACCAAAGTACAGTGATATCAATTCCACTATTTAACAAATTTTTTGGAAGATAAATAAATACTTATAAACATTAGATGTTGGCTATCTAACAATTGTTTAAGCTTAAATCTCCATAAATATAATTCCATACTTAATCAATTAAAGTTTTGTAGTTTTGATGATTTTAAATTTCACCCACAACATTTCTGCGCAATTGATCTAAGTCGCCAAATACTTGAAATTTTTGGTTAAGAACCAATACGAGTACACCCGACTGTCTGGAGATCATTAATCACCTGAATGGAAGCCAAAAGTGGCGACAAGAAATCCCCAATTAAAATGCACTGAGCGTAGCTCGCAAAATTCTACTGTCTCACTGTGCTGAAATGAGCGTCACATTGAAGGCCAGTTCTATAATCGAGAGTGACGATCCATCAACGCAGATCGACAAAGAATAAGAAGTCATTAGAATGCGAAGGGAAATTGTCAAAAACTATCAAAATATAATCAAAATACAAATAAAAAACGATAACGAAAACGAAAACTATTGCGGAATGATGTGAGCAAAACAGAAATGGCCATAAATCCTATCACAGTGCTTTCAGAAGTGCGACATCATAAATAAGTCATGAGTGTGACAAATTCGGATTGGAAGAGAGCTACGAGTATATAAGAACCCGGAGTGAGCTTCAACAGCATCAAACCACAAATTGCAATCGCTTCAGTAGCATCAGAAACCAGCAAACAATCAATCCAAGCAAAATGTTCAAGCTGGTAAGTTATAGAGCAGATAAGGACCTACACTCAGGAAAGGACTTCAGAGCTATAAGCTTATTCCTTATGGAATCTAAGGCATATTTATTCAAAGAATTCAAATTCTTACTTATGGCTTCCGTTTAAATTCAGTGTCCTTCTCGGACCCTCAAAATTTAAACTCCGTTTAACACCATAAAATCTCACTGATTCCTAATTCCTGAATCCTAATTCTCATCCAATTTTTAATCCACCATTGCACTTCCCAGTTGGTCGTTGTCTTCGCCGCCCTCTTTGCTTTTGCCCTGGCCGTGCCTGCTCCTGCACCACTGCCACGCGCCGCACCAGCACCCATTCCCGTTGCCAGCCCGGAGCCCGCACCCCAGTTCTACTACGGCGCCAGCCCCTACGCCTATTCCGGCGGCTATTATGCTGCCTCTCCCTACTCGTACTATGGCTAAGTGCTGTGGCTTAACCCGTGAATTGGATGGCTAACAAACACCCGCACAAATGGACGTATAAATGGACATGATAATGGACTTTGGAATTTGAGCTAATTAAGTTTTTCTCTATGTATAGTCATAAAAGCTTCTTTAACAAGCGCACAAAAAAAAATGATGAACAAATAAAAATGTTGCAAAAGTAAGGAAATATTGATTTTTGATGACAATTTAGTTTTTGGTGGAATCGTCTGTCTTCTTCTTTTGTCTGTTGCCAGAAGTAAACAAAAGTACGGCCCAGTGGAAACTGTCAATCAGTTTGGACGACAGCATCGCAAACGGTTCCATGGTGTAATGGTTAGCACTCAGGACTCTGAATCCTGCGATCCGAGTTCAAATCTCGGTGGAACCTTGTAAAGGGATTTTTTTAAAGTATTTTTATGTTTTTTTTCGATTATCTTGTTAATATAAATTCAATCTTATTTTGTAAACCTAGTATAATATGGTATATACCAAATCATTTATTTTTGTGTTTGAAGGTAGGTTTCATTAGTTTTATATACATAAATAAATTACTTTTCATCTTATATTATTAAACGTAACTGTACATTTTAGTCTGATTTCCATATTTAATGAAATAATACAACAAATCAATGCCTGTAAATTGGTAACTCAGCAGTTTTTTTCCTCTATGATGTATCTTGATGAGTTTTGTCCGACAGCTGTCAAGCGGTTCCATGGTGTAATGGTTAGCACTCAGGACTCTGAATCCTGCGATCCGAGTTCAAATCTCGGTGGAACCTTAGTATTTTCAAATCTACGATTGGCTTTTTTTAAACGAATTTGTATTTTTCCCTATTTTGAAATAACACTTTGCTCTTAAATACAGTTTAAAATATCTTTACATAAATTAAGTTAAATTAAATTAAAACAAATCCACAAAGGCTCGGACTTATCTTCTTGGTTTACAAGCCGACTAAATGGTTCGTGTCTCTGCTGACAGCTGTTCTGTGAGCGCCCCACTGAGAACGCCAAAAGCATGCCACCCATCCATCCACCCCCAAAGCGAATGACAAAAGAGCCCCAAAGCAGAGCAATGCAGCAGCAGCATTTGTTTTTGCTCTCCGCTGGCTGTGCTTTTGCCACCTTTGTGCTGCTTATTTCGTGCAAAAAATTATTAATAAAATATACACTGTAAGAAACTTAAATACGACTTAATACACTGGAAATAATGCTCGCGCTGTTGTGTGTTGTGTGGCCGCCACTGTTGCTGCAACGTCCTCTGCTGCTGTTTGCTGTGCTGTTGCTTCCGCCTGCAACGCAGCGGGCAGCGACGTCAAAGTGCGCGCATTAAATATTTAGAAAGAGACAGCTGCGTAGCTCTCCCATGCATTTATCGGGTCCTATGTCTACCTGCCGAGAACTTTGATTATGTGGAAACGCTCGCTCAAAGTACTAGTAGCCCTCATCTTGAGCTTGATGTTCACCCTCTCCCTAGTGAAGATTGTTCTATTGATCTGGACCTCGTATCCCCCCGCCTGGCTGCAACGCTACACCGACGCCGAGCGCCCCCTGCCCACCGTTGACGAATGGCTGGATTCCGAGCAATTGTCCGGCTACAAACAGTTATTTCGCGATAAAGGTGAGTCTTGTAATGCAATCTATAGAGTTTATGGTTACAGATGTCCGGGGCATTGCCATATTTCGCCTTATCGCAGGTTCAGCTGTGAATTTTTGCGATTCGGGTTTCTTTTGTTGATATTTATTATTTGTTTGTATCAACCTATCTCTCTCTCTCTTTCTCTCTCTCACTCTTACTCTTACACTCAGCAAGTGTTCGCTCTCTCACGTGTCAAGTGTGTATGTTTGTGTGAACAAGTTTTTGGTAGTTTGTAAGCTCCCAAAAGCTATATTTTTTGAATGGGCTTTCAACACGTGTTGAAGTGAGTAATCTGTACGAAAAATAAAGTCAGAGCCACGAAATTTCAACTTAATATACAAATCTAATAAAATAGAATATTATTGAGTTGCAAAAGGGAAAAAACGAAGAAAAAAGAATAATTAATTAAGGTTCTACCGAGATTTGAACTCGGATCGCAGGATTCAGAGTCCTGAGTGCTAACCATTACACCATAGAACCTCTCTGAACGCCATGAAAGACAATTAGTGGTAAAAGCCGCACAAAGATGATCTTCCATCTCGTTTTTCTTAAAAAAACTGAAGTTATTTATAAAAAGATATATATGCTTACCTATATACATTTATTTTATAGAAAAATACAAAAACAATAGAAAAAAAGAAAATTTAACTTCAGGTTCTACCGAGATTTGAACTCGGATCGCAGGATTCAGAGTCCTGAGTGCTAACCATTACACCATAGAACCGCTTTGAACGCTCATCGCTTAGAGGCAGTTTTCTAGTCAAGCAGAGACCACTCTGCCGCCACAGATCGTAAAGAGAAAGTTGATCAAAGATTTGAGGGCTATTTATAGAAACCTGATCTATTGTTAATGAAATCGTTTCTGTTTGGTTCAATGGCTGGTCGCCAAGAGATAGAGATGCGAAACTGTATTGCTGGGGCTGCAGAAATGAATACGTATTCCAAAAATTTAATGAGATTTAACTGGCTTGATTACGTGTTGAACTTTTCGTAACAATGAAATAAGCTAATTAAGCACATGGTGCCCTGAATAATTGTAATGTAATTTTTAATAAAGGGCGCCAAACAAAAAAACAACCTGCTGGAATATACACTCCGTGAGAACGAGAGAGAGAGGGCCCCAGGATGCAGCAAAAGCTTTTTTACTCCGAATCGGGTCTTCGTCTTCGGCTTCTGATTCCCCGAACGTTTTCTGTGTCAGAGGCCCAGGAGCCAGTCGCGGCGTCCTTTTCGGACTCGGGCCTGACTAGGGTTTCGGTATAAAATCAATCGTAAATGTCCTTAAATGCTCAGTTTTGGTTTTACTTTGAGGCGCGCTGGTTTCACACTCCAACTTGTTCGCGTTTTTCCCCCGTTTTTCTTTGGTACCAAGCAAACAATAAATCTTACAACAAAAATTATATTTAAAATAACAAAAATAGCCCAAATCAAAAACCAAAAAAAAACTGTAACTGAAGTTGAAAGTTCTAATTTTTGTGTGTTAGTTTCCATCGCGTTTTCTAAGTTCGACTTTTGTGTTTATCCACATAAACGTTGTCAAAACATTTTCGTGACACCGAGGACAATAAAGCCAAGAGACATTAACCCAAAGAGACATACGAAAAAGCAAAAAGAAGAAAACAATATTTTTGGGTTAGCCCTAACCTACATATTTCGGTTAGCACGTGTTCCCAGACCCTCATACTCCCCCATCATACAATATAATACAGCGATATCACAGCCGGTTCCACTCAAAGCTAATGATGCATGGCTAATCCCTATAATACGCGTTAGGAGAAAATTAATGCTGGAAGAAAGCAAATTTCGCGCCGTACAATTTTCCACATTTTGGCATATTAATTTTTTATTGTTTGTGGGCGCGGAGAGAAGTACGACGGCGGCGTCTACCCCATTGGGGTGTTCACACTTCAATGCGCAGTTATTTTATAGGCCTGAGCACTCCACCTCACTCCCAAAGACCCCCCCCTGTAGACACCCATCTGTTCTGTTCTGTTCGTTCGGCTCGTGTGTTCCATTATCCTATCTAAATAAACTGACTCATTCGCAGTGTGTGCTTGTGTGTGTGCGAGTATCTGTGTGGTGTGTGATTCTACATGTTTGTTTTGCTGTTATAATGGTTAATGTCACTCGATGTTGGGGTTTTGGCCTGGTCGCATCGGTGTCCGCTCATAAAGAATTAATTGCCAATTAATTTTGATGACACTTTTCTCTTCGCTTCACTCCACTTTCGCACTTGACCGTGTCCAGGTCCATGTCCACTTGAATTCTGGTTTTTTTACTCCTTTCCCGAGCCGCCCACCCACACACACTCATACGCCCTTAACCTTTAAATCGCATTTACTTTTGACCTGCATATTAATTAATGGGTTAAGAGCACGACAGGCCGCAAAAAAAAGAAAGGGTCTTGGTGCGGTCAATTATGCATTAAGTGGCATTTTGGGGAATGAATTGTAATTGTATAATATATGCATGTACATTTATACAAAAGGGTAGCCTGTAACAGCTCGAGAAAACCGTTGTTTTGCCCCGTTCTTACATAATATTGTAGAAGAAACAATAGGCGACAGTCGTCTCCCCATTTTATGTAGTTTGCTGTACGCTTTGGAGTAGGCGAAACATTTACCTTGATTTTGTGAAAGTTTTTAAAATACTTCATAAAACCACTACTGATATCTGTTCAAGTTACTTTGATTATTCTTCTCCGATTTCTTTCCCATTTACGTATGAGAGGAAGAACAAATATCCACATACATACATATGTAGCTTTAATTCTTGCATAACCTGAACTAAAATAGGCTCTTTGCCATGGAAAATCCCAATGAAACTTATATATTTTTGTTGAATGTAGAAGTGTATTTTAATATATCAAATCAACAATGCATTAGATATGCTAAATTCCATACGAACTTTGACAATTTTGATGATAAGAAATCAGAATTTACCTTCACCTTAACCAACCCACTTCTAGTGTCATGAGCATATATGTAAGAGATCAGCCACATGTGGAAAGAATTAAAGATTCTATAAATAAAAGTAGAATCCCTTAGAAAATATCCGATTTAAAATATTAACTTCAAAATAAACACCCCAACCCCCCCCCTTATTATGATGAGGTGGGTGGCGCGCACATCCTTTAGGTTCCACCGAGATTTGAACTCGGATCGCAGGATTCAGAGTCCTGAGTGCTAACCATTACACCATGGAACCCCACTGAACCACGGCCGTCAAAGAGCTTTGTTCGATTTGCAAAAATAGCCCCGAAAGCGGTCTTAGCAGAGATCATAGCTATAGCGAAACAAGGCGAAGAAAAGAGATGCCACAACAAGAAAGAAGCAACCAAACAGAAGAAGCCGCAAAGAGACAGAAGAAAACAATGTAAAGCAAAGCAAACATTTGAATAAATATTTCCATAAAGACCAGAAATACAAGTTGAACATTTTTGCAGAGCCGACTAAATCGCTCGAGAAATCAGAGGTGGTACGGCTGCAAAGAAGGCAAAAACAAAAAAGGGAGGGGGAATGTAGCTAGCAATAAAGGTGGAAAGAGAGCGCAGAGCGACCGCCTTTATGGCCAGAGCGAAAGAGAGGAAGCTACGCCCCATCCTGGTCGGAAGCATTTAGTTTGTGCGACAAAAAGAGAAAATAATTGTTTGGTAAACATTGACCAATGTCCGACACAAGAAACAGCACCAAAAGCAGGCCGGCAGAGGGAAAACAGAAAATATTTCCAGCCTTTTCCTTCTGTGGGCGCCGCTTTCCCCGCCACTTTTTCCTTCGATGCCTGCAAGGAAATTAAAAGGAAATTGCGCCTTGTTTTGTACAAGTGTGGTGGGAGTGGGCTACAGAGCGGAGGGTGGGTGGTTTAGGAGCACGAGTAGTATGCGGCGAAGCAAATTAAAAGGTTTTTATCCCCAACTTGGAGAGTCTGTGGCGGAAGACTCAAAAGCAGTTAAAAACGACACAAGTGCCGAGAGAGACAGGGACATGAAACGCCAGTAGCTGCTAACTGGCTGAAACAACAGAAACGGAAAGGAAAGGACAGGACAGGGTGCAAAGTACGAGGCTTTGGATACCCTGTAGTTTCATTTGTCTTAGCCATGACTAAAATAAATATTTGTAATAATATTACACTCGAAACTTTTGAACTTCTGACAAAGTTTTGTCTTACGACGGATCTGCTGATACTCTCTCCCATCAACCTTGCAAACTTCTGATGGGAATCGTTATGCCCTGGCTACGGAGGGCATCCCCCACAAGCAGAGACATCAGCAGACAGCAGCAACTACAACAGTTACACATGTGCAAATAACAAGAGGCCTCATTGTGTGTCTTCCCTACCCACCTCCCATCCACCACCCCCTCACATTCTGATTCAGTTATATGCCCGCTCTCCACACTCTGCCTACCGCTCACCGCGTTCTCTCCCGCTCTCTCTCTGTTCCTCTGTCCCACTCACTCGCTGTGCTGTAACAGTTGCAACTGTTTTTGTTATGTAGGCCAAAGATGTCAGAGAACGGAAGCTTGACTGAATCTGGCTGCTGTCTCACTCACACACACACACACACATCCTCATCCTGGGCAGCCGCTGCTCTTCGCTGCAGCTGCTCCTACCTCCCTCCCTCCCTCCTTCATCCGTTATGCGTGCTGCTTTGACGCCTGGCGGCGCTCTTTTGCGGTTAGTTATCATTATTGCCATCCCCCTCGACGGCATTTGGTTCTCTATTCGCTGTCCCTGTTCCTCGCGTCGCTGTTTCTGTCGCATTTGTCAGCCACAATTATTATAATGCAGCAGCCAAGTTTTCCTCGCCCTCCCCCTTGCTCACTCACTCTCTCATTCTCTCCCTCTTTCCACTCCTCTCAATTGTGCTCTCTTTCTTTTGGAAATTATCATATTGTTGGTGCCTTTTGTGGCGTCCTTGAATGGACAAACAAAGCGTATGGGGGAAAAGAAACATTTGCGCATTTCAACGCAAAAGATTATTTTCAACTTTTTGCATAACAACAATAGGCAAAAAACATAAAGGAACGTGAGCAGAGCAGCCAGAAAAAGGCGAAAGCAGTTTAAATTCCTGTTTGAAGAGGGATACGGCGAAAGGATACTCTGGAATGAACAGAACAACACGAGCAAACGAGCAAAACCTGAAAATGGTAATGAAAAACAGCGCGGAACTGAATTTAATTAAAGGGATTTTTGGTGTTGTATTACCAAAGAATGAATATGAAAATGGGGGCAAAACGTAGCTTAATGGTTTGGATATGATGTGATGGTGTTGGAATAAACTGAACGTTGTTGCTTATCCGATTTACATACATAAATAATGGGACGCAGCTTAACTTTCAGAGATTTCTGAAGGCTCTCTTTGCTCTCTCAGTAACATATTAAAATAACACAGATTTGCGATGTTTCCTTATAGATCTATAAACTTTAAATTTTTAAGATATAATTATAATAATTTATAATATAATTTAGGGTGAAGAACTGCTTGTAACATAATCCACAAATGTTGACAGCTTACACAAAAAGACAACTGTAAGCTGGTTAGTTGTAGTTCTTTTCACCTTTTTCAATCTTTAACTATGCCTGCAAAACAATTTGCTAAAAAATCCAGCTAAAATTCTCAAAAGTCCCGGTACACCCGGATAAAAACTTTTGCCGCAGGCTCTCAATCTCCTGCATTCCCCCCACTAACCCTGCATAGGCTTAGTCGTTCTCCAGCTGTGGGGCTGCCACAGAACTCGATCCCTCCTTTTTGGCTTGGGCATTAACATAAAGCAAACATTTCGTCCTGGCTTTGCACTAAAGAAATTTGTAGTCATAAAAGTTTCAGTATCATGCCTATATTTTGGCTCTATCTTCGACCCGCACACACACACAGGAACACAAAAGTTAAGGACCCTAGCCCAGAAAAGACCCCGTCCGACTTATGACAAGTTATGGCTGGGACTAGGCCTACTTTTTTTTTATTTTTAAGTTATTTTTCTATTTTTTTACTTGCGAAAAACGAACCTCGTAAAACAACAAAATATGGCAAACATTTATTTTACACGCAAGCGAAGGGGTGGGGACATGGAGACAGACCATGTGTGTGTGTGTGGGCCACTTGGCGACCCTAAAGCAAATGAACAGCTCACTTTCATTACAAATTCCGACAGTAAACACACAAACAAATGCCCAGACCAGACATACAGATACTGGTACACCAAACACGGAGAAAGTTTTGTCCGCTCCCATTACTAGACACCACACACACACAGGAGCAGTGACACACACACACACACACACACACACTGATGTTTGGTTGAGCAAACAAAAACAAAAATGGCGCCATCAATGGCCACGTTCCTTGCTCGATGATGATGATGATAATCAGGTTCAGAAGGAGGCTGCTGCTGCTGCTGCTGCTACCTCCATTTCGCTGGCTGTTACGAAATTATTGACTTCTGTGTGGGGGGGTTTAGAGGGGGAAAAGGTGATAGTGTGTGTGTGTGTGTGTGGGTTGGCGCATAATTTTCGCACACGTCTGCCCCCTGCCACTGTGCCCACACAGTCACAGAGTGCTATCAATAAATATTTGCCAATGTCTTTCGATGGGCATGGCACTCTTATGGTATGGGTTTTTGCGCTGCCAGAAAGATTGGTGACGCCTGCAATTCGAACTGGCAGCCACTGACAGACTGCGGAAATGGCCTTGAATGGAGCCGGAGATAGTTAAGATTTAGCTAGAGATATGGTTGGATATGCATAGGAAATGTGGACAGGGTTGTTTGTATTTTACAGCAGCAGTGGGCTCAAGTTTATGATTGGTGCAAAATGAAGCTTGATGTGGGTATTATTTTGTAATAGAAACTAAAGTGAAAGATGATATTGTCTGCCACATAAACTGAGAAATAGTTCAGAGAAATAAAACTAACAAACGAACTAAGCAAATGAAATAATATTTCTATTTTGTTCTTGACTTTTTCATGCACACTTTTTTGTGCCATGTATTTCATTGGATAATACATTCTTTACTCTTCAGCTGGGCAGCCCCAGCTTCCTTCCCCAGTTTCCTTCGGTCCAGATAAGTTCTTCCTTTGATTCGTTTCTTTTGTCTCGAAGAGAGAGAGGGAGAGCTGGAGAGAGCTGCCTTGTTTATTATCCTTGTCGGGCATGGCACGCGCAAATCGTTTGTAGTTTTTATTGGGCTGCTCTCAGCAATTTCTCAGCTTGTTTTCTGTGTCTTTACAGAGGAGGGTTCCACTCCACACCACGCCACTTTCCACATTCTCAGCTTTTTCCACACACACTTGAATGTAATTGTTTCAGCTGTGTAAATAAACATCAGGGCACTATATAAAAACACCCTGACAGACAGTCAGAAGGGCGGGACAAGACACGCGGGGGGGGAGGAGTGACACACGCCATGTCCTTATAGTATATATATCTGGAATAGTTGTCCTTGTCAGGTCAACAAGAAGGAGAGCTCTTTGTCTTTTCCGTTTGTTGCTGTAATTTCGTTGTAGCTTCCCTGCACTTTCCAGTTAATGACAGCAATTTGAGGCGAGTGCAGAACGGCGCTGCTGCGGGCTGCTGGGTGGCAGAGTGTAATAGAGGGTGCCACTTGTTTACAATGCCATCAAATGCTGCTCCTTGGTGTGCCTGCCTGGCATTCCCTTCGGGCTTGCCCTCTAGGGTTTTCCCTCAACTTTTCCCTCTTCCACGCTGTAGATCAATGAAGTTGTTGCCTCTGCTGCACTTGCCACTCGAAAGTGTGTTTAAAATGGAGCTATAGATGGGACATGGCAGGGATATAATTTTCCAGTAAGAGAGAAAGAAAGAGATAAGGAAAGATAAAGGAGCGTAAAAACCAGTGAATGGATATATAAGACATAAACTTTTATTCGAAGTAAGCTTTTGGCAAGCGTCGTACATAATTTCTTGCCAGCCAAAGAGAAAAATTACATGGAAATAAGCAAAAAAGGGAGATGTTGAGAAAATAAAAGGGCAGAATGGAGAATAGAGAAAGAAGGAAGATTTAAGTCCTTAAAGTGCATTTCAAGACTATAAAACAGATGATATTTAAAAAATTATATTAAAGAGTATATAAGCAATAAATTTAAAAATAAAATAAAAATCAGATGAATGATGCAGAAAATTATAGGCTTGAAGGGACTCAAATTTACAATGAAATTCGTTACTTAATCAGTAATTCATAAGCTATATAATTCTCAAACTATGCATCCTTTTAGGGGATATTACTTAAGAAATATAAAATAAACTTCACTGTTCGTGTTCCATTGTGCAGTTTTCACTAGAAACTTTAAACCATTTTTCCTTCCGGTTGATAGATCTAATTATTTCTGACATGAGCCGTTTGGGGTCTTATTTCCCTATTCCCTTCCTTTATTCCAATAATCTACCAAGAGAGTTGCATACTTCCCCCTGTGTGTGTGTGTGTGTGTGTGTGTGTGTGTGTGTGTGTGTCTTACACTACTGAAACGCACTGTCGTTGTGTAATTCCACTTTTTGACAGGCCTTAATCCACGCTGCTTCCTCAGGCATTGGCCTATCCATTTCATTCTATTATACATTTTCAACTTTTTCTCTCTATTTTTATGTGTTTTTTTTCCGTGCAAAAACTTTTACCCAACTTGTATGAAAAGTGTGTATATATATGTATATATATATATATATATATAATATATATCCAATCCCCCCCTAACCGTGCTCTGGCAGCCACCCTCTTTAGTAATCCGCAGCTATGCATGAAATATGTCAAAACTTTATGAGAGAAACTTTTTTAATAAATTAAAAATTACAAAATAACACACACAAAATAAGTTAAAAAAAAGGAAGGTAAAGAAAAAGCGAAAAACTAATTATAAAAGGCAGTGAAAAACATGATTTAGCCATTAAGTTTTGTGAACGATAAATATACGTATATATAAGGTGTAACAATTTCCATAAGGAGAGTGAAGAGTTTTCGTGTGAACAGAATGTGGTCGCCGGAATCGGAAATAAATTCCATTGCCATGGCCACCACCATGCGGCATTCGCAGTCCTCGTCCTCAGGTGAGTATTTTTTTTTTATTAAGTTTTTGTGGCTTGAACAAGGGTTAAGGCCTCCTCTGAAGTCTGGGGCTAAGGTTTTGCGGCGGGAGGGGTAACGTGTGTGAATTAAATTCAAATTTTTGGCTTCTTTATTTGACTGACGGCTAATGCAGCGTATGCGCAATATGGCGCTCATACTCAAGTGTTTCCGTTTCCATTTCCACTTCCGCATCGCGCCTTTTGCTGTGACTGTACTCGTGTACCGTACCTCTTTCCACCCCTTTTCGTGTGGCTGTACTTTTGCCTTGAACCATCATGCAAATTGCCTTTGCCCTAAACCCTGACTAACCTTCGCATTGAGTTCTCCTGACATGTGCAATCGGTTTGCTGTGCGCCTTCGCCTCCTTTATGTATCCTTAATTAAAGCGAAAGTCGAGAGTGCGGCTCGAGCAGGTTTTTGTGCCGTTTCTTCGATGCCGTTTGCATGCCAATGACATAACCCCAACCACAACCTCAAAAATATAAAAAAATACTGTGGGTGGAATGGGTGGGGCGGGGCAGATGACTGCCGAATGTGGCCGGCAAAGTGCTCTCATGCACGTAATGTGTAAACGACTCATGAAAGTGGGCGAAGCGCAGTGGGTGGGCAGCTGCATAGGTCTACCCACAGTTGCGGTCAAGGAAATAGAAATGGCAAAGAGCAAAGAGCAAGAGCCATAATGATGCAACATGCGACAGACTGCAACAAAAAGTGGTACTTTTTGGCATGAACAAATTTACTTTAATTATATAAAAATATTTGCAAAAAAAAACTACATGAACATTTATTACTTCAAAAAATACTTTCTTTGGTGTAGAAAAAGGTTTTTTTTTTTATTTTTTAAATTGTATTTTAATTTTTTCTCTTTCTCTTTGAGTGACGAACGAAAATTGTGATAACAATTTGATGCACATTATTGACAGCTTTCCATTTTAAATGTAGACTTAATGTTTGTGCAGCTTGACGGCTGAAAGGATTAATTTGGTTTACTTTTTTAAATGGCACTTCACCGACTACTGACACGAATTGATTTCACAGCCTTAATGCAGTTCAGTTGTTAACATTCTCTCATCCAATTATCCCACTGTCAATAAGTGTCATTCGGTGGGCTTAAAATGCTGGCATTAATTGCTTGTCTCATTATATACACGAATAAATCGGCAATAAAGTTTTTTGCAATTCATCGAGTTCGGGTATAACTTTAGAAGGTTGTGTGCTTAATGGCATCACAAAGGTGTAATAATCTTTAAGATAAGCTACTAAATATTTAACATAACACATTAGCTCGTACATAAATTACAATAACGATAGGCAACAATAATGCCTAGACAACGATGAGCACAAATTATTCAAATACGACAATCAAGAAGAAGAACGACGAATAGGCAGCTTAAATCGTTCCTTTACATTATGAATATAATAAACATACTAATTAATAAATACATATATTTTTTTTCCTCGATAATTGTAATTAGTTTAATCTGTGTCTTTGTTTTCCTGCTTATATGGCGTCGGTTTGATTGCACGTGTGCCGGGTCATGCGGCAGCCCCTCTCAGCTGTAATCAGTTAATCAGTCATTTGAGCCCAAAGATTCAGAATGTTTTCCATTTAGAGTTCAGTCTCATTTTGGATTGCATTCAGACAAGTAGCACTAGCAATGCGCTGTTCGATTATATTTCTATTATTGGCGATAACCTCCGGAAGGTCCCAGTCACAGTCAGGGAAGGTGAGTGCATCGCTCAGTTTTTCAGTTTATTCAGTATAAAAAACCATTAAAACGTTCTTCCACTGAAGAATGAATCAGCACCAATGAATGTTGTTCGGGTGGCGGCATCTCAAAACGAGGATTCTCAGTGCGGACTAGCTGTGAAAATGCTGACAGCAGACGCTCTCTCAAAACTAATAGATGAAAAGTTAATGGCTCTAGAGGCGGAAAGAAGACCCCACCCAGAAGATACTCTCTCAAAACTTGCCCAAATGAACGACAAATTGGAGGTTATAGCAGAGCAGTTGACAAAACTGTCATCCTGGCTGACTGCAATATACGACAGAAGAGAAAACCTTACAGATAGAAAAAATTTTCGAAAAATTGGTTCAAAATATTACTACATTAACGAGAAGGAAAAGCTGTCCTGGTACCGTGCATTGGATAAATGCCATCAGATGGGGGCTCATCTAGTGAGTCTGCAGAGCGATGAGGAGCTCGAGGCACTCAACAGGATGCTGATGCTTGGAGATGGATATTGGATAGATCTGACCGATGAAATAAAAGAGGGAGAGTTTATTTCGTCCACTACAGGGCTACGCGGAACTTACCTTAAAAATTTACGCGACACGTCAGGGTCACGGCATTGCGTTTGTTTAGAAGCGAAATATACAAGATATGGAGAGAACACTGGAACAGTGGACATGGAACGCAGGGAATGCAAGTACCCAATGAACTTCATCTGCGAGAAATCCTTTGATATTGTAAACCAAAACGAAGATTACCAATAAATATGGCGTTTATTTTCAAGTTACTCACGAGGGACAACTCTTTTGGTCAATCTTTTTGTTACCGAGTTTTCGTTTTTTTGAGCTTAGACAATCTTTTGGCGCATCAACTGAACCCTCAGCATTGCTCCCCCACCGAACCCTTAAGATTTTCTCCTTTCGGGACTTCTATGTATTAATTTTGCATACGAAATTCCAGTCGAATACATTTTGCTCCTTTTCACTTGGCAAACTATTTTGTATCTGTTTGATCTGTATTGCAATCCAAAATGCAATTTATAACTTGATCCACTCTGATTTAAACACACACAAATGCCGTTAAAAGTGAAATATATATATATGTGTGTATATCGTACGAGTAAGATATGTGCAATAAGTAAATAAATTCCACCATAAACATTTCCATAAACCTTAAGCGTGTGTGTCCCTTCGTTGAGTGTACGGGCCCGAGCCTCAGGCCCCTCACAAGACCTTCAATCACGCACATAAACATTTAAAGGTACACCTGCCCATTTCTCGCGCACACAGCTACACCTATACACAGCTATACACACACTCACATGTGAGCACAAATACGTAACTCCAATTGGAAAATGCCAAAGTGTTGCAGCTTCGTTCGTGCAAATTTGTTTATGCGAATTTCCATGTTGCCAGCACACTCTGCCATAAAGCGAGCGGGCAATACAATGTGCGAAGGAAAGGGAAGAGAAAAGAGAGAGAGAGAGAGAGAGAGGAGAGGGTAAATGTGTGTAGGCAGGGAAAATATTCCATGTTCAACCTACGTTTGCTGTATTTTTGATACCTCTCCGATTTATTGGAAAATGGGAATTTTCGCACAAATGAACGCGCTTTATTTTAATAGAAGGTAAATTGAATGTTATGCTGAATATACATAAATATACTATTATTATTATTATTATTAGTATGATAATACCCACTATATACTATATATATGTTTGGATTTTTAACATAAATGAACAATATCGTATCGAAATATGGTAATACCAGAACCATATACAATTTTATTTTTGTTGGATTGTAATTGTATCATACGATGTGAGATCACAACATACATAGTACATATTAATATTTCAGTATCACTTTTATACTGTGTTGAAGCAATATGATTCGCATCTCAAAGCTCAAAGAATATTCAAAATAGAATATTAACAATATATTTGGCAACAGCTATAGATTGTTTTGAGGAATTCAAAATGAAATGCCCTATATCGTGTATATATATAATTCCTGATACTGAATGGAACCTTTATTCACAAGTGCACTTCTATACCCAAAAAAAAAAAACTCATAAGAGAGTGAGAAGGGGGAGCTGTGGCCATCGCTTTCCTTATGTTGGTTTTCTAGCCTGTTTTTGTTTGCAAGCTTAGAGGCCTTTCAATTGAGTTTACAGTAGAGATCGATGGAACACACCGCTCACTGGCCTATGTAAAAAATAATGTAGTTCAATACGAAAATACCCATAATCGTGGGTGACAGAAATTGCCATTCCAACTCAGTTGGAATATTAAATTACTTACGTTTCTACATTACAAAGCCATACACTACCTGGCACTACATGACACTACATTCAGTTACATTACAATTCATTACACTACATTAATATTTATGGGCTGTGCACTCGAGCTTAAAAAATTCCGTGCCTAATGTTTCACAACGAAGGCTATGTGGATTGGGAATAAAAGTGCTAAGAATATGAAAATATATATTTTCCAGGGTATTGAAATCTCCGATTGAACAATCCTTTCATTCGAATTTTGCTTTCGATGCCATTAATTGCCGTTGGCCGTTGCCAGGAGCCTCTCCAATGCCAGTGCTGGCTGCTGGCTGCTGCTGCTGGCATTTGGCAAATGTTTTCTGCCATGTTTGCCAGAGAGGAGAGGGCCAACACACATACGGGTACGGGTACGTGTACGTGTACGGGTATACAAATGCTCACAGAATGTATCTGTGTGAATGTGCAACCTCAACCGGCTCATGTCTGCGGTTTTTGGTTTTGCTGCCCAAGCTGCATGGCCCCCTTCCACCCAGCACGTGAGTGCAACATTAATACTTTGGCATTATGGCTTTAACCCAATTTGGCCCACTCTTTGCAGTGTTAGAAAACAGATGAAAAATAGTGGAAAACCCAAAGGTAGAAGTTTCCGCCTAATGTCAGTGGATGCGCTATGTGGGCGTGGCTTGTGTGTGTGTGTCTGTCTGTATTAAAGTTGCAAATTGGTTTTTGTGGATTTTTCATTTTCACCGTATAAGCACATTTCCCAGCTAGAAAAGAATAAACGAAGCGCTTAATTAAATTGCCCGAAACAGACCAGAAATCAAATAGGAAAACTCGGAGCGAAAATACGAGAGAAAACAAAGGACTCGCCCAACAGACTACCGAGTGCGAATTGTGATTAAGGACGTGGGATGAGCATGGGCTAAAAGGGGAGGGGAGGAGAGGAGAGTAGAGACCCCGAGAATGGGCCTTAATTTAATGAATAAATAATGGGATTTATGCTGCCTCGCCGCTGCCGCTGCCGCTGCCGCTCACTCGGAATACAGGAAGTGGTTTAAATGGGTTAAGTGGGTGCTGGCAGTATGGCTGTATGGCAGTATGGTGGTGGCGGTGCAGCCTGATGAGGTGCTTGAGTGGTTGGCCCTGCAGCTGTTTGCATAACAATTCCGCCTCTGCAGAATGCATATTTACGCTATCATTTAAATGTGTTCGCTGGCACAAATGTTTTTTTAATTGAAGAACTGGAATTGCATTTTAATTTTGCATTTTTTTTTGTCGTTCGCCATTTAAATGTTTGATACAAAATAGGAATTTTGCGCTTAACAAAAAACCAAGTTGAATACTTTTAAAGGAAATTAATGGATTTTAAAGCAATCGATGCATAAATAATGGTTATTTATTTTATTTATGTTTTATTTTTATTTTATTTTATTTTCTATTATTTTTATTTTATTTATTTTAAGCTAGTGAGCTGCACAAAATAGTTTGGTTCGCCTTTTGACGAATTTTAAGTATTCATATTTTGAAAACACTTTTCTGCGTAGCCTTAGCTACTAGCCTTTAGCCAGAAAAAAAGGTTATGGTGTGTACAAATGTTCTATGAATGAATTAACCAGGAAATGCGATGTTAATCGTATTATTAAATCTCTAATCCAAGCTAAAAGTTTGCTGCATATTTCTTACTTCTACCATAAATACAGTAAACCATAAACTAACCTTATGCAAAATGTGCAAATTCTTTGGAAATTCCATGCGAATTATTAACTAAAGAAAGAGTTTGGGGATCTCTGCTGCTCTTTGCCAGCGGAAAACTTTGAGTCAATTATAAATCGATATATCACAGAAATGTGGCAACTATTTTTTGGCCATCTGCCTGCCTGCCTGCCTGCCTGCCTCCCGCTATGTGGAGGCGAAATTTCAAACATTTTTGTGAAATACTTTTCGAGTTGCACCCAAACCACATTTACCGCTCTACTCCCCACTCCCCACTCCCGCCTGACATTCCTGATGCATTTGCCACTCGTTCAAGCTCGTGTTTTGTGGTCGACTAACGCCAGAAGGGGGAATCCGAACACATCCGAACAGCTGGAGCTTGCAACAGCCAAAACGGGCACTCAAATTAAGCGACATTTAATGTCATTCAGGAGGGGTGTAGGGAGGGTTTGAGAGTGTTGCAAGTGAGAGGCAAACATCTGTTTGCCTTCAAAGTTGCCTCGTGCGGCTTATGCGGGCAACCCGCATGCCCACACACACACACACACACACACACACACACACACACACACACACACGAAGCGCGCGCGGGGGATGCCACAAAAATGTAAAGCAGGGAAACGATAGAGAGGCAAAGAGAGAGCGTGGGGTGCAGACAGGTGCAACA